GCAACATCACACACACACACATTTCACTCACCTTCAAGCCCTGATGGTAAGCAGTCCTGGCCAACTTCCTCACTCCCACCACTGCCTAGGTGGCTTTGCTCTCTTTACCCTACTCAAGGTTTCCATTTCCTCTGTCCTAACCCTCTTCCCTTTTCTCAGGAACTCAGGGTCATTCTTACCCATACCAGCAATCAGGGTCAGGAAATCCAATTAGAAAGAAAAGCCTGCAGAGGAAGCAAGGCATCTGGATCCTATCACTCCCCAGTGACCAGCAAGATATGCCAGCTCTCCAGCTACTGGGTTAGAAACTAAGAACTGGACTCTGGCTCTCTTACCTCCACACCCTCAAGAACTAGAGTAGAAGCTGCTCTTAGCATTGACAGCCTGCCTCCAGTAAACAGTGGCAAAGGAAGGGGTATTCTCTCACAGTTATTCTCCAAATCTTACTACCCCATGTAGAACACAAAAGATATCCCACTCAAAGCATTCCAGGGCACCCCAGAAGTGGATCTCAGGTCCTTCCCTGAGTATAGTGGTCTGACCCATTTTTAGCACAGGGCTAACAACATCGAAGCTTGAAAAATACTTGTCAACTTTCTGCTCCAACTAATCTAGGCACTTGAACTGGAAGTGGCTGTAAGTGCAGTGAATCCCCAAAGCTTTCAGACCTTGTTTCTGAAATCTGAGAAACTCATACATACTCACATTCATTCTCTGTCACTGCCCCTATACTCGGGAATGAAGGGAACAGTTTTGTCCTCCTTTCCACCTTGGTCAATCTAAGCCCTTCCTCCGATTTCCTCAAGGCTCATCTTGGAAACTCCCTTGCTCACACTATCCTGAAGCAGACCCTGGGTCCAGGTCCTCTGCCAATCCATGACTGATGAGATATCCCTGTTCTGGAAGATGGGACTGCTGTTTGTCCTAACAGCCGGGTGTTGAGCTTCACCTCCCGGTTGAGTCTTCTCTTCACTCCATATCCTCTCAAGAACTGGAAGTTTTAAACAACTGCCACAAGAGGGCTCTCCTCTACCTCTTTCCTGGCATTCTAAACTGGGTTAAGTATGGAACACAAATGAATAGGTCATCCTCTTCCCCAAGTTGTTCAGGGGTCTAAAGATAACCATTCATTAGTTGGCCATTAAGCTTAAGTCCGCTCCATTATTACTGTCCTATGAGAGGTTGTGGCTCTGGAAGGTCTCTATCTACTAATAAAGCACTAGGGAAAGGCGCTTTGAACTTATTAGCAACCTGTCACCAAGCAGAACTTTGGAGGAGCTTTGTAGGAGGAAAGTGCCATCTGATCTTGAGGGGTAAGAAGATAATGTTCAAAGTTATGGGACTGATAAAGAGAAGTCTTGTTGGAGTAGCTGGAAGGTTACATAAAGGCAAAAGCACTGGTCCTTGAGGGTGATGGCTTATTAATAACAGGAGAGGAAAGGAAAAGGAAAATTGGCAAGAGAGGCAGCATGGAGGTAACTGAATACAAATTATATGCTTCACACTGGCACTTGGGGTTCTCAAACTTATCATATGCCTAAATCCTGTTCCTTTCCCACAAAAGGCAAGTTTTGAAGACCTCTGTCCTCAAAGTTTAAGTAATAAGAGGGGGAAGGCGTGCCTGGTTTACCCAGACCTTACCCACTGCAAAGGCAACACCACCCCTTTCCTTGCCTGGAGCCAGACAACAGTAGCAGGAGAGGAACAGAGTAGCAGCGGGAGTGGGACAGGAGGACAGAGGCTTCATAGAGTAGATCTATTCCCCAAGACCTTTGTGGAATCTCTGTATGAGACTTGGCATACTGACAATGGGAAACCACAAGCCTGAAGTAGAGCTGATGCAGGGCCATCAGCTTTAAGAAGGATCAAGTTTATTACATTGCCCTGACATTTATCCTTCATGGTCACTCACTGCCAAAGTCCAGAACTAGACTGGTAAGGTGACTCCTATCTATGGATAAGGGGACCCTGTTCGAACGAGAAGCAACTGATATGTGGGGCTGGAAACCTGAGAGTGGAGGCTATGTGGACTACTCCAAATTCAGGGCCCTCCAGGGATAAGTTCAGGATTAAACCCTTCAGAACTAGAGGAGCAAAGTAACAAAGCCCTCTCTCTCTGGTGCCCAATTCATTTGGGCTCCCCTCGGGCTTTGATGGGAAGAAATAAGCAATAGAGATGGGTCTAAGTTCCTTCATAACCTCACTTTCTACCAATCAAGTGTGCCCATTACCCCTTGGCTGAGAGAAGGAGCAGTCTAGAAAGAGAGACCAGAAACAGAACTACCCTCATCATTAAATCACTGTCCCATGGCTGCTGCACATCAAGGATAAAGGTCGGCTCCAAAGCTGCATAAAACAAGTTTAATTTCCAACCAGGGTCACAGTCATCACGTTATCCCACATTTTGAGCAAGGATAGAGAAGGTGAGTTATTAAACATATACAGTCTACATTCCAGAGGAGGAAAAAAGAAGAGAAAAACCAGTTCAGAACTGCAGTTACCACTATAACACCACAAACTTTGGGGGTGGGGAGAGGGGAGTCTCCAGGAAGAAGAAAGCTAGAACCAGGTACAGTAAAAAATTAAACCTACCTGAGGAGAGCAGGAAGGGAGTGGGTGGAAATGGAATGAAACACTCAATCCTAAAAGAGCTGTTAAGTGAATGGGAATGTAGAAAAGACCACCCCTGCCAAGGGTCTAGCAGCCAGGGATAGTACTACCAAGATCACTTATTGCCCCCTACTGGACAGATCTGGAGCAGCACAAAGGCAACCTAGAAGGCTGTTTCCCAACACCCTCAGCCCCAGATTGGTCCCTGGAGCCCCAAAAAACAAGGTGAGGAATAAGGCCTGAAATGAGGAAAATCTATTTGGGACTGGCATCTACCCAGGGAGGGTCAGAGAGGGAGTGAGGCAGGAAAAGAGGCAAAATCCTCACAAACCACAAAGACAGAGTAGGGAATCATAAGTAGGAAAAAACAAGGAAAAAAGACAAATAGGCAACAGCAGTGAATGAGCTGAAAAGGCAAAGGAAAGAGTTCAGGGAAGGAGAGGCAATGGGTTAGGACAAAAAAAGTCTGAGGAAACAGAGCAAAGAAAAAGCATCTGTGGCGTTAGGGGTGTGAATACATTTTAAAAATGAAATAGAACCTCTAACACCCCCCCCACACACACACCAAACACACACACACACACACACACACACACACACACACACACACACACACACACACAGGCCTAGAAAGCAAGATGCCTGCACACACCCACTGTATCTTGGGTAACACATCACTAAGTAACTGGCACTGAGGGAGATACCCCTGGAACCTCTCTTTCACAGTTCAATTTTGGATGGAGTTAGGGGTATTGATCTGCCTGCTGTGGACAAAGATGGCAGGAAGCCTGGCCCCATGGAGTGGGGCTTGGGACAGTCCTGCTGGGAAGGGGCCCCTCACCTATGCTGCGGGGGACCCTGTGCCCTGACCTTAGCAGAAAGGTTATGGGCAACTGTCTTGGAGCTCAGGGCGCAGCCAGCACACACAGGAGCCCACAGAACAGCCACGGCTTCACAGAAACCGCATTAAGTCAGGACCCAGGCCAGGCCCTCAGGGACAAGCACCCCCTGTAGACAGAGAGAGGCAGTAGCAGCAGCTTCTGAACAACTACATAATAATGCGCAAGGACCCTGAAGACCACTGCATCCCACCAGCACCAACAACCACCTCAGAGTTCAATTTCCTCCACTCCAACCACCAGATCCATTTATGACAAGTGGGTGAGGAGGGCAGGAGAATGGAGGTAGGAGGGACAGCAAGGATGCTCTGAGGACCTGGAAACAATAGAAAATCTTCATCCTTTAGCACATCTTAGACTAGAAAAAGTGAGAACTGGAGAAGAGGGGGTTGATGTTGAGGTCTGCTGTCACCCCACTCCTCCATTCATTAGCTCACCCGGTCAGCCCTGGTCAGGCCAGCAGGACTACTAGGGTGAGAAAACTTCTGGCAAAGGAAAGATGATCCACCTGGCCCCCAAAATCAGAAGGGCTGGGCTCGGGGGAAGGGGGGGTGGGAGGGATGCCTGGGAAGGCAGGAATGGGACTGACCTACACCTCACCTCCTCCTAAAAACAAAAAAGAATAAAGACGGAAAACCTGAGGCTTTCTCTTGCTTTCCCCCATGCCCTGGGTCCCAAACACGCACCATGGTCTTGCTATCCCCACCTCCTCCTCAAGCTCCTGAAGAACAGATCTAAGGATGGTGGGGGAGGATCAGTTGAACACTCTGGGCTGATAAGAGTGAGTGGGTTCCTCTCTCCTTCCCAATAACAAGGCAGAACAGAATGGCATCTCCTTGGGAACAGTCATCTAGAGATAAATACCATCCCCCAGCCCTAAGAAGGGTGGAGAGAGGGGTACAAGGAAGATGGTGGAGAATCCTCCCTCATCTGTTCTATCATCCAGAAAAATCTACCTGCAGCTAAGAGGGAAACCAGTCCAAGACTGGGGTAGTCCAGCCTGATTAATACCCTCCCACCTTCTTCCCTTTATCTTGCCAACACGGAA